CACTGGCGGCGTCGCGCACGCGCGGCGCGGGGCGGGCCGCAGCTGTCAGTCTCGGCGCGGGCCACCGCCCTCCAATGCGTGCTGCGTTCCGGCTCCTCCCTCTCCCGCCTCCTGGTCCCCGCCATGGTGCTGGAGTCGGTGGTCGCAGACTTGCTGAACCGCTTCCTAGGGGACTACGTGGAGAACCTGAACAAGTCCCAGCTAAAGCTGGGAATCTGGGGCGGTAAGCGCTACGCCAAGGCCGGCCGGCGTGGGAGCGGGGGCTGCGCGTGGAGGAGCCTGGGAACCCCAGGGACCCCCGCTGGGCATGCTCCTGTGGTCGACTTCCCCGCGCAGGGGTATCGCGCTGCTCAGCGGTCCTCTAACCCCTCAGTATAACAACAAGGAAAAAAAAAATATTTACCTCAGCTGCGGTCGTCAGAGCGCGGCTCATGCTCCCCACAGTGTTAGCCCATCTCCCCTTGCATCTCATGTCCCCAGGACCGGGTTTCCTTCTTTGGGTCCCAGACCCGAGGAGGTCGGATGGGCAAGGATGACATTGAGAAGAAAGGCGTGCCTGTCCCCAAGGAATCTGAACCCAGGGATTCCTACCTTGGGCCACTTCCTCGTTCGTCAGAGGGCCCTGCAGTTTTTTGTTTTGAAATAGATATTCAAGCCACTGGCCAGAGGCGTCATTAATTAGGGTTGTCTGCTCGGGTGCAAGTGCGGGAAGACCTGCCAAGGTTTTTATCCTGGAGATTAGGGGTAGAAAAGTCTTGTGATTGTAGTCTACTTCTGCGTTCTTCAGTAAGCTTGCCTTTGCGAGTGTAACTCAGTGGTCCTGCGCCTGCCTCAAGCCTCCTCAGCACCACAGAATTCCAGCACAAATTGGGGGTTTGGGGAAATGGAGAGTAACTTTCATTTGTTTACTAATTTACTGTAAGATTTGGGAATCTTGTCAGCTTAGGGAGAAAATTAAATAACAACAGCCAACTGAAATGGATGGAACTGCGTTTAATTGTCAGCAGTTTAAGTACAGTCTTGCTCTGTCTGGTTGGCGTTCACCAATGGGGAAGTTAGCCATTCTACCAGTATTTGAAATGTGCGTGACCTGCTCCGAGTTTAAAATGCACTGGGGTTTGAAGATGAGCATTACTTCTAATGGAGTAAAAAACAGTATCTCAGTTATGTTGACTGCCTGCTAAAATGGTATCCGAGTAGATGGGGTAAGCACGTTATTAAAATTCAAGACCATCATCGGGCTATGAAGTCAGTTTATGTTGAGGTTACAAGAAGCAGAATCATGGACCTAGAATGGATGGGCTGTTCCTATCCACTCCGCTGGGCTCGTTTCTCATGTTACATTACATTTCTACATTAGCGATTACAAAGGATTTCCACATTACGTCTGCCACAAACTCTGGCTCCTAAAACGAATGGTTACACAGAGGCACCCCATTTTTATTGGACAATGCTGCCACAGATTTATGACTTGTCTCCTGAATTGTGGAAGAGCTTGTTGTATTTTAAACTAGGCTTCTGCTCATTTTTTGGTGGTTTTCCTATAAATACATACTTTGGATACCCATCCCTGCCACAGACCGCAAAAGGGAAAGTTGCTAAAAGGAGGTAAATGTCTAGAGCCTGCTGTAGGTGTTTGTTCTTCAGAATTCTTGCAGTAATGTCATTTATTAAAGAACAACATTTGAAATGGGAAAAAAAGGGCTTCAGATCAATGCGAACGCTGATAGAGAAAGCCCATACATAGTTCTAGACCTGCTGGTGTGTTGGAAAAGCATTTACTGTATGGACCTTGGCTTCTTCATTCCAGCTGTGACAGAGAACGTGTTTGTACGGTTGGGAGAGTTTGAGTCACTCCTGGCAAGATGATATTCCCGTGTAAGCACTGCTCAGGCCTTAGCAGTTGCCTGTCCTGTGTTTAGGTCTTTTAAAAATGAAATAAAACGCATGGGTGCGGTTGCAGATTCCTTCACTATCAACTCTTGCTCACTTCCAGCATTAGAAGTTGGACTTGCTAGCCTCTGAGGGCCCTTCCAGTGTCAGTATGGTGTAGGGCCGTCTGCAAACAGTCTGGACAGTGAACACAATCTGGAGGTTCTGAGCTCCCTCACAGCTGAGTTTCAGGGTTACAGTGCTGTGGCACCCCCGGCCTCACTGTCTTGTAGTGAGATCTAGCAATGGAGACTTTCCTTTATCCTGTTTTCTGCCACAATTTATTTTGTGGTCCTGGGGGTCAAACTCCGGGCCTCGATGCTGCCCAGTGACACTCTGGGACGAGCTTCGGTCCTCAGCTTCGTTTCATTTTCTCTTTTAGAATAATATAGTTTGTCAGTAGTCTGCATTATAGTCTGCGTTAACTGTCCACTGTGCCAGAGCGGATACACGGGTTTCTGTCAGCAGCTGTCCCGGGAACAGTCAGCGACTGAGTTTTGCTCCCCGCTCAGCTCCCACACAGCTTCACTAATGGCCTCTGGAAGTCATGTGCTTTGTAGTTGTTGCTCAACATGTCTTTTAATCCCTATTTGCCTTAAGATAGAAATGAGACGAGTTGTCTGACTTGACTGTTACTCTTGACAATACTGCTGGAGAAACTGATATTAATCTTTGTTGGGGAGCTTAATATCGAATGGGAATGTTAATGAAATTGTTGATAAGATACCCATGATGCTGACAAAACTTTTCAAGGAAGTTTGAAAATTATATATAATTCTGTTTGAGAACTCTATGTGTGGTAGCAGATAAAATTTATGTGTCACTGATTTTTTTTTCCTTCAAGTTTTGCATGTTCAAAACTTTGGAACAGGAGGGATCTTCTTGTAGAAGTTTCACATATTTAGATTTTTTTGCTATTTGAAGAATAAGTTAGTAAATCTTAACTGGCTTATTAGACTAGCCCAAAGCAGTAGTTCATTGTCAGGATGGGAGGGGTGTAGTGGGGGGCTGTTTGGCAGTGCCTGAAATGCTTTTGGTTCAGGAGGTTGCTGCAGGCATGTATTAGGCAGATCCTAGGGAGATGGGAAGTCTGTAACCGAAGGGTTGTTCAGCCCTGCGTAGTAGTTGAGGAACTGGTCTAAGACGAAAATGGAGATTGTCTCCTGCGTGTAGTGAGACCTATTGGGTGGGCAGATTTTAGTTAAGGAGTAAAAGAGGATCTAGAGAAAGTACGTTACCCTTAAGAAATTTCTAGCAAGAGGAACAGGTGTCATAAACGACTGCCATGTATCCTGTTTGTAAAAATGCATGGTGTTTTCTTGGATGTGCCCAGGGAGTTCTGAGAATCAAAATAAGGTGGTGCCATAATTTGAAAACCATTGTGCTGGGCCTATGAGACATTCACACAGTGAAAGCCACAATAAAGAAGAAAATTGTAGCATAGAAAAGAAGGACAGAAAATTAGAAAGTCTAGAATCAGGTTCTATACTCTGGATATTGCTTTTAAATTGAAGAAGAAACAAGGCTCTCCAGCCAGCACAGTGGGAAGTGCGCTTGCTGCCAAGCCTGAGTACCAGAGTTCTATCCCTAGGATGCACATGGTAGAAGGAGCGAACCGACACCTGCATGTTCTCCTCTGACCTCCACAATGGTGTGTGCCCCAATATAGAAATAAATGTAACGGCTTTTAACTGAAGAAGCAAAACCAATAATAATGATAATGAACTTTCAAGGAGCCCAAAGGTTCTCAACTTTGTGGCTGTCTTTTGGAATTTATTCTTTAAAGATTAATGCCAAACAGTTCCTAAATGTTTCTGAAAGTGGTTTATGCAAAATACCTTTCAGTAACTTGCTGCTGTAGAAACAGGCCTCAGTTATTCACCAGCTATAGGATTCAGGAGAAGAACATTTTAGTTCTCCAAGCGTCAGTTTCCTAGTCTGTAAAGAGAACACACCACAGTGTCTGTGGGGGAAGTCTAAGGGAAGTCTTCTGTAACTGTTAGTGATAGGTGCTAATGGTGGGTGGGACAGCCTGCTGTTGCCTTTTCTGAAACATGTTTCCTCTAACATAAGACATCTGCTAACATCATACATGCTTGTTAATATCTTTTGTCCCCCTCCATTCTTAAAAAGCAAGTAAACTTTTTGCAATCGGATTTATACTTGCCAGGGCTCGCGTTTTCTGTAGCAGTACGTAGGGCAGCCTTCAAAGGCTCAGACTGCCTGGTGGGCAGGTGCTGCCAGATGAGAATGTTTATCTGGGCTTTTGATCCCCACAAACTGGTACCAGCAGATAAATTACACAGCCCTTAGCTGTTTGAGAGGTATCCAGGATTTAATTGCTTTAAGAGTAACATGTTTCTAAAACGGTGTGTCGAAATGTCAGATCTTTTGCAATTTAAGTCCTGTTCTTGCTATGTAGGATCTGCCAATTTGATTTTTCCGAGCTGTTTACTGTGGAGGACCAGGAAGAGCCTCCATTTCAGATTCGGTGGCTCTCACTTCCTTTAAATCAGTGGATCACCCCAGACATGGGTGTAGGATGCCAGGGGTGGCTGTGGTGCCCAGGAACAGGAAGGAACCAGGGTGTAGTGCACACAGAGTTCACAACCCTGCAAGCCAGGCTCTGGGGAGTGGTTTCAGGTCCCGTCCTTCACCCTGGAGCCTTTCTTTCCCTGCCAGCCCACGGTTATGGGTGGGGTTTCTATTCTAAATACTGGGGGCTGGAATTCTTGTAGATTCTGAACTTTGTTTTTCAGAATTTGGGATATTTATGTGTATAACGTTATTTCTTGGTGACGACACCCAGGTTAGCATAACATTCCATTTCACTGCATATACATACCGTGCAGTAGCCTCCAGTTATTTTCAGCGTGCTGCGCTTGGCAGTTGTGTACCATGCAAGATTGGGTGTGGAAGTTTTCTATCTGTGGTAGCAAGTCAGCGCCCAAAGGTTTGGATTTTGGAGCCTTTTAGACTTTATGTTTGTGATGCTTAGCTTGTCTCGCTGGCAGGAAGCAGCACATGGAGAGAGAGTGAGTGCTGGGGCACACACCAAGGATGAGGGAACAGGACCGGGAGTTCACCTTCACTGGGACTTTTTGGCAGGACATGAATGGGAAGGAAGCCATTTGTTTCTTCTCTGTAAATAATGAGGCGACTCCTTTGGCTGTAAGCAAGGTTGAGCTTGGTTGAGCAAGGCTGGAGCAGCCTGAGCCGCCCTTAGGTGTGTGCTGCTGCCCTGTCCGCAGCCAGTGCGAGGCATGCTGGCCCAGTGCACAGCTCTGTCTT